AATAATGTTCCTCCCCCTCAGGCTCTATTGCTGAGAGACTTTCTCACACCTCTCCATCTGGACGGGCTTCTTTCGAAACGTCAATCACAGCAGGGACTCCCATTTTTCAGCCAGCTTTGGGGGATGACCCTCTCTGGGAGATTTGGTGAAAAGTCAGTGAGATTGTTGATTTCAGCTGGGGACTTTTGGGAGATGCTCCCGCAGAAGTCGGCTTAATCTCGCCTGGAGGTGCAGAAGGTCCATAAAAGTCATTTGATTAAAGGTGCTGTCAATCTTTAGAATTTACGTTCTATTATATTGTGTTGTAAATAAACAAAAAAATTTAAATAATATATTTTTTTAAATACTTCCATGCATTCAAGGCTAAGTCAAAATCATATAAAAAAGTGCTATCATTTAAAGACTAAACTATTCATTTAATTAAAAAAATTAATTAAATGTGACAGGTGATCTGACTAAAGTTTTTGTCTTCTAGTAGTTGTTCTGCAATTTTACAAGCATCAACAAACAGTAATGAGTAGAGAGGCCCTCTAGCGGTTTTATAAAATGTTACTGAAATATGTGTGATGTTTTGTGTTTGAGCGCCCTCTGTCAATAAAATCAGGACGTGACACTTATGTTTGGGACTCACTCTTGTGGCCATACTAATGGGAATGAAAAATGTACGTCATTTTTTCTCATATACAATCACATTTACATTTAGTCATTTAGTAAGGACTCAGCTGCTCGGATTGATTTGGGCAGGTCATTCCACCAGGAGGGAACAGTTAATGTAAAAGTCTGAGAAAGTGATTTTGTGCCTCTTTGAGATGGCACAATAAAGCGGCGTTCACTTGCAGAACGCAAGCTTCTAGAGGGCACATAACTCTGAAGTAATGAATTTAGGTAAAGGGGTGCAGAGCCAGTGGTGGTTTTGTAGGCAAACATTAAAGGAATCAATTAGAAATAAACAACATAATTAAAATAAAAAATAAAATAAATGGTTACCATAATTGTAACAATTGTATCAAATTTATGAATGCAATCACAAATCACAAAATTATTTATTTATATATTTATTTATTTATATATTTATTTGTATATTTATTTATTTGTTTGTTTGTTTATTTATTGTGGGTGGAGCCAATAAGTCTGAGACCACATTGAAAGTCTGGGATTTTTTTTTATTTTTTATTGTGGACATATGTCTTTAAAAAAAATTCTTCCTCCAAACTTTTTGGTAGCGTAAACACAAAAATGTTAAATATAGTGACATTAAATGACATAATGAATAAGAATCTGCTATCTGCTTTTAGATGAATTCCATGTTATTGGCCTTCTGAAAATGCAGTCTTGTGGTTTAATTCATACCTGCATAAGTGAAATGTTGTGTAGTCCTAAATGGGAATAAATCTTATCTTTGAAATCTAAGAAAGAGGTGTCCCCAGGGTTCAACATTGGGACCACTTCTCTTTTCTATTTATGTACGTAAATAATGTACCATCAATTTTTAGTGACTGTTGTATTTAACTCTATGCTGTCATGTACACATAAAGCTGATCTTCATCAAATGCAAGTTTCTCTTCAGTCCGAGTTTGGTTTTTAGATAATAAATTAGTGCTTATATAGGATTATTTTACTCATCACTCTACAATGTATGATGAACTTAAGGGGTCTACATAAAAACATATTCGCCGACTTCAATTTATAATTCAGTTTCAAAATCATCCTAATAATGACGAAAGGCTTCAGTTTCTTTCTCATACCCTCCACAAATTTCTGTTGAAGGAGTATATAAGTTTGGTAAGCATTATGAAATTAGGCATAAAATAATATAATAATAATAATAATAATAATAAAGAATTTGTTTTTATTAAATTACTTTCTGGCAGACAAATGCATGTGTACAGCTTTCCACTGTAATCACGACAGTGATATATTTATGACAGTGAGTTCCACTCACTTAAAGGGTTAGTTCACCCAAAAATGAAAATTCTGTCTTTAATTTCTCACCCTCATGTCGTTCCAAACCTGTAAGACCTTCGTTCATCAAATTAAGATATTTTTGATGAAATCCGAGAGCTTTCTGACCCTAGACAGCAAGGGAACTACCACGTTCAAGGCACAGAAACGTAGTAAGGACATCGTTAAAATGGTCTATGTGACATCAGCAGTTCAACCGCCCTAGGGTGACGCGGAGGAGAAGAATTATTGAATCACTGATGTCAACATGGACTATTTTGAAAATGTTCTTACTCTCACTTTTCTGGGCCTTGACCGTGGTAGAACTCTTGCTGTCTATGGAGGGTCAGAAAGCTCTCGGAATTCTTTAAAAATATCTTAATTTGTGTTTTGAAGATGAACGGAGGTCTTACGGGTTTGGAACGACATGAGGGTGAGTAATTAATGAAAGTTCATTATTGGGTGAACTATCCCTTTAACTGTAAGGGCTCCAAAGTCGCAAAAATACACAATACTAGCTTTAAATAAATTCATTTGAACTACCCTGCTATCCTACAAAAGTATTTTGTATTTTTGTCTTCAAATGATCAAGTAAGGCACTCTGCTCAGTTTTATTTCCTTGTTCCTCATGCAAAGGAAACAACTGAAAAAAAGAGCTTTTATGAGCTTTTAGATCACTTCGTTATAAACAAACTCTGTCTGCTTACTTTTTTTACTATTCATGCTATCAATGAGGCTGTTACTGTTTATACCTATTGTTTATACCTATTGAGGTTTACACGATTGTATCTTGTGATATTCTGGTGTTTATTTATTTATGACCATTTTGTTGTGTATGTTTACAAAGTTTTCATTCATGTCTGTCTGTCTGTTGCTGTGTGTGTGTGTGTGTGTGTGTGTGTGTGTGTCTGTTTGTTTGTAGTGATTGTGCAATACAGACAATGAGATGGTTCATCTTAAAGTTTTTATCCTAATTTCATAAATTCTCACTAAATTTTTAAGATTCAGCACTATTTCAAGGTCTATAATCAAATTATAGAAAGAAACACTGAAAAGGAATTGGTAGACATTGACTTTCTTAGTATGGAAAATATATACATTAAAAATTAACCAGCCATGTCACCCTGTAGCCCAAGACTGGTTGCCCACTGAAACTAAGCAGGGTTGAGCCTCCTGGCCAAATTTGCCCATTGGCCTCTGATCATCATGGCCTCCTAACAATCCCCATATCTACTGATTGGCTTCATCACTCTGCCTCCTCTCCACCAGTAAAGCTGGTGTGTGCTGGGCGTTCTGGCGCACTATGGCTACCGTCGCATCGCCCAAGTGGACATAACTGTAGATTACATTTAATATATTACATTTTCATGAAAACAATTTTTAATTGGTTTGTAAAAGGTGATATTTATACATGTTTTTATACAAGTTTTCGTTGCATTTACACCGTTTTGACCAGCATCAACTTTACAACCAAACAAGGTACAAAATCACATTCCTGAATGTAATACCTCTTATTCCGCCTTGGTTGAGCTTAACCAAAAACAGAGAGAGAAAAAAATCAAATCGTCAAAATAAAACGAACTTTAACCAGAAAGAAAAATACAAAGAAAATAAATAGGCTACATAAGATGCTTCAAAAATAAAATACAACAAAATGGGCTTTTAAATTAAATTATACAAATCCAAGAGAGAAGTCAACTTAAGGGCTTTCTTGTTCTTAACACATTTTAAAGGTTTGTATAAGAGTTTTTCCTCATTATACCATTGAATAAAGTTGGGTTTAGATTTAAACCATCTACAGCTGTGGATAAAAAAACTTCCCAAAACATAACAGGAAATTAATAACAAATTCAAAATCTTTGTTTTCAAGAAAAATACCAAACCTGACTATTCACATTGAGAGGTGGGAATAACATCCCTGGAACATAACCAGTTTTGCATCTCTCTCCAAAAAGGTTGTAACATATCACACAAAAAAAGAAATGACGATCTAACGTTTCAATACACGTTTCACAATAAATAAATAAATAAATAAATATTTACCTCAAAGTTAAATTTCAGTCTTAAAAATTCGTTAGTAGGGAGTTCATTTTTGAGGTTAGGTTAAGTGTACTCCTTAATGAAGAAATTCACATTTTAGAAAACATTATTCTTTCAAAATGTAGTCTCTCTCTTCCACTACTATAAAAATTTTTAAGATTCATTCTGCACTTCATATGTTCTGTCCAGTGTGTGTGAGGTTTCGTTTTATTTATTCATATAAATATATTAATGTTAAAAATGGCATACGTTTGCACCGTTAAGAATGAAAACAAAATTTAGATGAAGTATTTGTATTTGTCAAATGTTAGTGGATCATGTTGATAGTTAATGTAATGAACAACACCTGTGATTGTTCTGCTGGACAGTGAGAACTTGAGGAGTTATACTGCGTCCATAAAAATTCAGTTTGACACCAGCTGGTAAAAAGTGCCTCAGAAAAACAGTTTGCTTACTGCTTACTTTTTTTTTTTTAAATACATTTGGATGAAATAGAGTCTAAATAGTGGACAATACAGACATTTAAAAAATCAAATCAAGTCATTTTACACGATTTTTTCCAATCGGTCAACATATCCTCACTAAATTAAATGACAGTGGGTAAATATAAATGAATCTTTTTAGCTAGCGCGATTCAAAAGATTCGAGTCAAAATCCCGCCCCTAATTTCCATGAGCCATGCGCACGCGCGATCTGATGGGAAGATCGGATCATTACTGACTCGGATCTCTGAATCTCGTTCCACCAAACGAACGAGTCCTCACTCAAGTCATTTCGCTCATTGCCCGAGGCGTTCGGTCTTTTGTCACGTGACACCCTTATGGGCCACGCAGGGGAATTGATTCTTGAGGAATTTTATTGATTAGTTCACCTCCACAAGCATTTCGTTCGTAAACGAAGAAAAATGAACGAATCACTCTCTGAGACAACTCGCTACTTCCGAGTCATATAAGGGATTCATTCAAAGTGAACGAATCGTTCGCGATCGACTCATCGCTACATGAGCAGACTTCCGCTTCCGGTGTGCCTAAAGTCCGCCCTCTGTGAAATGGGTTTGCTGGTGGACTGTTGATTATGTTGACTCACACGTGTTAAGGGCTTTTCTGTGTTTTAAAAGAGACTCAATTCGAATCAGCATTTATCCCCTCCGTGTTTAAAGTTCGCTCAGTTTCTGAGCAAACTCGCCGGGACTCTTGTTTCATCTGTGTTTGTTCATTTAGAAACTCCAGCAGCGTTAGCAGCCCGTCAGCTAACAGCAGCAGGGTAACACCGGTCTGCTCTCATCTAAGGGCCACTGCACACTGAAATGTGACAAGTACCTAGTTTGCACAGACGTTTCACCTGTCTTTGAAATCAGCAAACCGGATTTCTTTAGTATTACGCGCTTTTCTTTCACGAAACGCATACACCATGGGGGCTTACTTGTCTCAACCCAACACGGAGAAGACCGCAAGCAACGGCGGGAATGAGAGCATGCTCTTCGGCTTCGCGGCCATGCAGGGCTGGCGAGTGTCTATGGAGGTAAAACACAGTTTCATTCACTCTCTGCCGCTGCTTTGTGGGTTGCTAATGATATCTGAACATAAACACACGAGAGAATGACCTTTAGCCGGTGTAATTAAAGCGTATTGGATGATTAATGCTTCCAGTGGTTCATGCAGTTGTGAGCGTGTTAGTTCTGTAGTGTGTGCTGTGCTGTGTTTTGTATTGCATGAGTGATTTATTTTGGCGCCAGTGAGGTCAGAGTGACTCTAGCTCCTGTTGTATGGCTTGTTTTGTTTCCTAGGACGCGCACAACTGCATCCCAGAGTTGGATGATGAAACTGCGATGTTTGCGGTCTATGATGGACATGGAGGTAAGCTGGTAACCTTTAACGTGTGCGTAAGCGATTTTAAAGCGAGAATTCACCCAAAATATATATTTCTGTTTCTCGCATTCAAACTGCTACTTTTTACTTGGACAACAAATGTTTTTTTTTTGTTTTTGTTTTTTTTTTTCATTTTAGTAAAGCATATTAAGCTCCCCAAATGAACCATACAAATAGTCCATATATTATAGTATTGTGATAGGTCACCCACAAAAAAAAATTGTCGACATTTCTCATCTGTGTGACCTCCTTCTGTTGAACATGAGATATTTTGAGAAGTCTCACGTGTTTTCTTTGTCCATATGGTGAAAGTCAGTGGTCGCCAAAAGAGTTACCAGTATTCTTCAAAATACCACCGTTTGTGGTCCACAGATGAAAGTTATACAGGTTGGAACAACATGACTGTGAGCAAATGACCCTTTTAAAGGCAGGGATTTCAAATATCAACATTGGCTACCAGAAATCACTTACTCTGCCTTTAAATGGTTTACTTTTTTGGGTGAACTGTTCCTTTAAAGGTATAGTGCACCCAAAAATGAAAATGGTCATAATTTACTCAAACTCAAGTTGTTCCAAATCTGTGTCAGTTTCTTTGTTTTACTGAACAAAAGAAAATATTTTGAAGAATATTGGTAACAAAACAGTCGACGGTAGCCATCATCTTCAATAGTATGGAAAAAATACTATGGAAGCCGATGGCTACCGTCAACTCTTTGGTTATCAACATTCTTCAAAATATCACCTTTTGGAGTGAACTATCCCTTTAAAGTCATTATTCACTAAAAATCTCCCCTTGTGCTGAGATGAACAGTCAGTAGGTAAAATCATTATTGGGTGAACTATTCCAGAATGAGGTGAAAATGGTGTGTAATATTCATGAAGGAGTTATCCTGTTGATCATTTAATTTTGTGAGTCTTTTACTGTGTATCTCCAGGTGAAGAGGTTGCTCTGTATTGCTCCAAGTACTTACCTGACGTCATTAAAGAGCAGAAGGCGTATAAGGATGGCAAACTGCAGAAGGTAACTCTTGCTGCACCTCTTATAGTTGTTTGTTGTGCTCGTCTGATTATGACCCATATCAGTTTGTGCCCGCTATAATCCTTTAATTGACACATGCCCCCGACTCTGTGGTATTTTGGTAGAGTTCACATGTGCCGAGCTTGTAAATACGATCATTCTGAGGTGATTCGAAGACAGCAGGATTTAGCAGAAAATCGCTCTGTTTTGTCGTTAATGTCTATCATGTGACTTTCCGGAGTCTAATTAGATGATATCTTATTCCCAGGCTCTGGAAGATGCGTTCCTGGCTATAGATGCCCGAATCACCACAGAGGAAGTCATCAAGGAGCTCGTTCAGATAGCTGGACGTCCTCAGGAAGAAACAGAAAAAGTAGCAGATGAAGATGATGGTTAGTGTTGGGGGTTTATATATGGCATACTGATGTTTCTCTAACTTTTGGACTCCAAGGCCCCCTACAATCCTCAACAATATTCCAAGGCACTCTTCGCTTTCATTTAAATTGAGTGTCCTTGATTAAAATAATTAAAAATAAAATAAAATTGTACAATTCCAGACATTTGGGAGTGATTTTAAATGAAGAAATGTCTTGATTTGTAGTTGTTTTAGATTGTTTCGTCTTCTTTTAGAACGTTTTAAGTCATTTTGAAGCCCCGTTGGAAGTTATAAGATGCTTTCTAAATGCTTTAGATCCATAATAAATTCAGACATAATTTAACTAAAATTAAAATAACAAATACAAATAATACAAATCAGACTACAGTAGTTTCAGTAATCCTAAAAAATAACACTGCCAACCTTGCATGCTAAAAAACAACTTACTTACACATAGTAAGAAATGTATATAAAAACTGAAACGGAAGTGAAACAAGTAGTAGGAAAGAGGAAAAATAAATGTTACTGAGCAACTGACGAATAAATGTGCTTTTTACGGCTTTGTCCTGCTTTTCAAATAAAAAATCAATTACAAAACAACAATTTAAAAATATTTACTTAACACTGACTGAACATTTTTTTTACATTCTAGACATTATACCAGCAAAGCTAAATTTAACTTAAAATTTATTAAATTTAGTAAAATAATATTTTTTGGCCATTTTTGAGACTTGAATCAGGCATGTATTTTTACAGTACAAATAAAGGCAGTCTTGCTGAGCAGAAAATAATTCTTTTAAAATATTAGAATATATTACAGATCCCAATTTGAACACTTTGTGTGAATGTTATAATGAATGTATTAATAGAGCTGTTGTAGGGTAATTATTATTATCATTATTATTGTCTTACATTTTATTTTAAAGAACAACGGTAAAATTATTAAATCAAAATTATAATCATATATGAATGTTGATGGAGTTGTTGCTTTTTCTCTGCTTTTATTTTGGCAGAAACCCGCAGGAAGATCTCCGTGCTTCTTTTTGTTGACAACAGCATGCAGATTTATGATTACGAATTTGGGAAGATGTTTGTCGCACGTATCACATTGTCACATGCCTTTAAAAAAATACAAATACAAATAATACAAATCAGACTACAGTAGTTTCAGTAATCCTAAAAAATAACACTGCCAACCTTGCATGCTAAAAAACAACTTACTTACACATAGTAAGAAATGTATATAAAAACTGAAACGGAAGTGAAACAAGTAGTAGGAAAGAGGAAAAATAAAAAGCGATACTTATCCTTTGCCGGTGTCCCTGCCTGGTGGAGTTGCACGGTAGAGTCGATGGACTTTACACTCTTCGGTCTGCACACGAGGATGCCGTCACGCGACGCCTGCCGCGGTAAACTAAGCTTTTTTATACCCATCTAACAAAATACTACATTAATTCAGCTGGGCACACTTTCCTTATTTTTTCCACAACAAATGGCCAAGCAAACGCAGACACTGACAAGATACGCGATACAGAATGAGACCAAACGCGATATCGGCACATCTCCACACAGTAAATAAAACAAGCGTTTCCTAGCAACGACAACTGCACTAAACACTGAGACCAGTAAATACACTTACAAGCTGCTTTTAACTTCCGCTGATAAAGACTTCTTCTCTCAAAGACTATTTCTTTACACTGTTTTCTGCTGGCGCTTGAACACACTTTCCTTATTTTCTCCACAACAAATGGCCAAGCAAGCGCAGGCACTGACAAGATACGCGATACAGAACGAGACCAAACGCGATAACATAACATTCTGCAGTTTATTTACTAATCGTTTGAGGCCATTTCGCGATTTCAATCATCATACAGTAGCCTAACCACCAGCATCAGCCACCTCTTCTCATCGGAGACATGTGATGCAGCACTAAACAGTCTCTTGCTGTCTGTGCTTCGTGCTTGTAATGATTTCTGCATCTTTCTCTGATGGTTTTAAATACTTCACACTGCCGACATGTTTGCTGCATTAGTGCGTGCCTCTATTTGATCGCGTTAGTCATTGTTCGGTACATATTATTCGGCCTTTTTGCTTATTCGGCCGAACACCGAAAGAGATTTTTTTGCTATTTTCGGCCGAATAATTTCGGTTGCCGAACATTCAGTGCATCCCTAGATCCTTTAATAGCATTTTATTGGTGTGTATTCAATCTGTCTTGTGCCTGAGAAATGTTTTCAAATGTACTTATTTTCAAGAGTTTTAAAATAAGCGTAACATTAATATTGATAGACCACCATTCTTTAAAGATTGCCATTTATATTTGTCCTTTTTTAATGGTATATGGTGTTATTTCTGAATGAAACTTTACGTAATGTTACTTTGCGACGTGTTAATAGCAAGCAATTGTGAAATCATATAATGAGAGTTGCAGATAATGAGCCCTAGTTAGTGTTTTGTCACCTGGGGCCAGTTGTTCAAAGGTGATCTGATCGGATTTTGGCCTTCGGATTGGATCAGATCTTAAAAATGGGTTGTTCAAAAGAAAAAGATCGGGATACTTTTGATCCAAAAAAACTGGATTATTCTGATCCCAGCAGAAGGGTGGATTTCAGGAGCAAAAATGTAATAACTTTAAAACTGTTCCAAAAAATACAATATTTGTAACATGTAATATATCCCCAAATCCTCAAACAGCTGCCAATATCAAATAAAATATTATATTCAAGAATTAAAGTTTTTTTTTGTTTGTTTGTTTTTAATCACTGATTGTAAACTACATTAGCACAATCATCAGAGATGGACCAGTCAGAAGTACTTATTTGTGTAAATGCAATGCAAAACACAAGCATCCCCCCCCACATCTAATTTTTTTTCCATCACCATGTCCCTTTAGGGGCTCCGTAGAGCACTAGTAATCCAGATTTGGAAAAAGTGTGTATCTAGAACAGGGTGATCCAATTTAATTTTGCTTTGAAAAACCGGCACAAAAGTAAGATATCCTGGATAGCAAAACATGGGATTTCCAAATCCAGATCATTCTGATCAAGATTCAACTTTTTGAGCAACTGGCCCCTGGGCTGTAAAATGCATGCACAATTTAACTGCTACAAATTAACATTCACCTTTTTTGTCAGTTGATAATGAAGAAGCAGCTCTGCTGCATGAAGAGGCCACCATGACAATTGAGGAGCTGCTTAGCCGCTTCGGACAGAACCAAAACAAAAATGCCAAAAAGCCGTGTCCAGGTGCCTCTAAAGAGTCTGAGGAGGGAGAGAAATCTCGTGCTGAGAAGGGAATCAATGGTGAGACGGAAAGCGGGGCTTCTGAAGCCGACAGCAATGGGAAGGAGAAGGCAGCTGGTGCTGGAGATGCGGCCGGAGGCTCCAAGATGAGGGCCTGCAGACGGGCGGCTGCGTCCGAAGGTGGCTCTGCTTCTGATGGATCCGCTGAGAAGTCTGGGTCGACTGGGGATGCCGGTCCTTCCTGCTCCTCGTCTGCAGCTCCTGCTCCAGGAAGTGCCAAGTCCAAGTTCTTTGACGACTGTGAAGAGTCGGAGGAGGGAGAAGATGAAGAGGATGGTAGTGAGGAAGAGGTGAGGGGGTAAATCGAGCATGTTTGGACAGTTCAGCACTAGGTTTGTGTAATTGCAGGTTCAATCTCAAATACAGTTGACCTGGTAACTGGAGAGTAAGTTTTGTTTGTAATGGTCAGGTCAAGTTTTTGTATAGTGCTTTTCACAATACACATTTTAAAGCAGCTTTGCACAAAATGAATTGACTACCATCGCTTACTAGCCTACTACACGTCCATTCAAGAAGCTGATATGGCAAAAAAAATTAAATACAGCACTACCATTCAAAAGTTTGGGGTCAGTCATTGGTATTTTAGTTGTTGTTGTTTTTTTTTTTAACTAATACTTTTATTTAGCAAGGTTGCATTCAATTGATCAGAAGAGACCGTAAAACATTTACTGAAGTTACTGAAGAACAATGTTACAGAAAGATGGGAATCAAACAAATTGAACTAACTGAAGCAGGACCACTTCTACAAACACACAAACTTATACAGATACACTAGAGAGAACATTTAATTGACATTTTGTATTAAACTGATTCTAATAACAATGTAACTCAAACAATAAAATCATATTAAATTTACGGTAAAAACGACAGTTTATAAAAAAAAAAAATTTGAAAAAAGGGAAAAAAAGAACATTGTAAAAATGCTACAGTAAAATTTATTACTTGGTTAACTGTAAGTTACCTTAAACTGTATATGGTTTAAAATCACATTATGTAATTTTACTGTAAAGAAGTTTTTTTTTTTTTTTTTTTTTTTTTTTTTTTCAAATAGCTAAATGTTATTTTAAATTTTCTTTTCATTGAAGAATCCTGGGGAAAAAATGCATCAAGGTACAAAAATATTATCCATGCTGAAAACCGTTTTTGCTGCTTAATGAGAAATGTTTCTTGAGCAGCAAATCAGCATATTAGAATGATTTCTGAAGGATCATGTGACACTGAAGGCTGGAGTAATGATGCTGAAAAATCAGCTTTGCATCTCAGAAATAAATTACGTTTTAAAATATATTCAAATAGAAAAGTTATTTTAAGCTGTAATGTTACACCATATTACTGTTGTTGTTGTTGTTTTTACTGTATTTTTCTTTTTTAATTTATCAACACCAAATTTTAAACTGTAGTGTACATTCGGAGTATGGCACAGTATATACGGTGTACTGAATTCTATTTTCAAAAATACTAGCATTTTTGCAATATTAATCATTTCAAAAAGTGCTACTTTGCACACAAGTGTTTATCATTGTAACTATTATTTTTGTTGTGGCCAATAGGACTGCAGTGAGGAGGACGGTGAACACAGCAGTGAGAACGATGAAGAGGATGACACAGAAGAGGGAGAGGAAGAGGATAGTGATGAAGAGGAGGATATGTGCTTGCCGGGGATGGACGGAAAAGAGGAGGTTAGCATAAGTCGCATGGCCTCTTAAGATGTGGTTAATTGTGGAAAATGTAGTGTATATTTATGAAATTAAATATGTGATAATATTTCTGACCTCATTCTATCCTGAACTGAAGTTCATGATGCCTACATGTTGTTCCTGTTCTTCTGAAACCTGTTTGCTACTTTTTTTTTTTTTCTCCTGTGGAACACAAATGGAGAATTTTAGGACAAATCATCCCCTCTGCTGTAGCAAATCAGATTTTGCTTAATAGTAATTTTGAAAAGTAAATAAAATAAGCATACTGTTTTAAGTGAACAAATTCTTCCTCAAGCGAATGCTTTGAAAACTTAAAATAAGTTGTGTAAGGAGTGGGTCACATGACCATGTGCATAGTCTGTTTTATGTACTTTTGTTCTTCTCGGTTATTCAGCCAGGTTCAGACAGTGGCACCACAGCTGTAGTTGCTCTTATTCGTGGGAAGCAGCTCATCGTGGCCAACGCTGGAGACTCCAGATGTGTGGTGTCTGAAAAGGGAAAGGCGGTGGACATGTCCTATGACCACAAGCCAGAGGACGAGCTGGAGCTGACCAGAATAAAGAATGCTGGTGGGAAGGTGACGATGGACGGCCGTGTCAATGGAGGCCTGAACCTCTCCAGAGCGATTGGTAACACTGCTGCTTACTGGCTCATTTATCTTCGCAAATGTTTGATTTTGCACATTTCTTTTTTCGATTAAGAACCGCAGAAAATGTTAGCACTGTGTTTTCTTGTAGGTGATCACTTTTATAAAAGGAACAAGGCTCTTCCCCCAGAGGAACAGATGATCTCTGCTCTACCTGATGTCAAAGTGCTGACTCTCAACGAAGACCATGAGTTTATGGTTATTGCCTGTGATGGCATCTGGTAAGACCTAATAACTCAATATAACTAACAAGATTTTGTGTGTTATGTTTTGAATTTTCACAGTGTTTTGCAAGTTGTAAACGTAGTATTCATATTATATTTGCTCGATTTTGCTAGTTATATAGCCTGAAATTATTATAAGTTGAACGATTCAAGATCATACTTGTTCATTTGGCTTTTTTTCCATTGCATTTAGCTGAGTTCTTGGATCTACCTTATGCATGTAATTGGCTATAGTAGCAGTTTTAGATTAAATGATTGTTCGTCTAATTGGGGTAAAATCACTTAAATCATTTCTGGGCAAATTCAAAAATATTATGAATAAAATGTCATTGAAAAGCAATTTGCAACTTCTAGTCTTATTCAATTAGGCTGTCAACTGTGATTTGTGTATGTCCCCCTCCATGAGAAATGCATTGTCAGTTTTTTTGTTTTGTTTTGTTATTTGCAGTTTTCAGATAAGAACTGTAATGAGCTGATTAAATTGTCTGTGTTTACATTTGTCTTCGTGTTTTTAAAGGAACGTGATGAGCAGTCAAGAAGTGGTGGACTTTGTAAATGAGAGATTGAAAATTGAGGCTGGTAAAAACAGACCCCTGTCTGCCATAATTGAAGAGGCAAGTACTGGAAAGTGTTGTTTTGTGGAAAAAAAAAGTCTGTTTGTGTGCTTAAAAGTGCTTATGATTTCAGTAATGCAGCTCTGTGGATCTGTGAAAAGTGCTCTTGATTTAAAATTCCCTTCTTGGCAAGATGTTAATGTTAAATATGCAAACAGAGTCAGGCTCCGTTTATGCGACAACGGTGTAGTCAAAAACGGAAACGTTTTTCCCTTGCGTTTTTAAACATTTTCACGGATACACGATAACGTTTTCAAAATGATTCGCGTTTACACATATCCGCGAAAATGGCCAAAAACGCTGTATTACGTATGCCAGGCCAGTAGTTGGCGCTGTCACCTTGTTAGTAAACAGTACCTGTAGGGAAGTGACGATTATATGTTGTATAAGATGCGTCTCTGCTGTTGGTTGTATTATTAGTGAAGTAAATCCATACTTTGCTGAAGAAGCGTTAGCAAACTCTTGAGCAGCAACAACAGTACCATGTACACCGCCATTGTTGTGTACGTTTGTTCGCACTTGCCTTTAAAATTGACACGTACTGCGCATGTCTACATACCTAACACGTACTACTCACGTGCATGACGTCACCGTTTTCAAGAATTCCCGTTTTGGGTGTTTACACGGAAACGATAACAGTGCCGTTTTCAAAAACTTGCACTTTAAAACCCATTTTCAAAAATATGCGTTTTTAGTCCCCAAAACGCCGTTGTCGTGTAAACGAACAGGCAAAACGCATAAAACGTTTCCCGTTTTTGGCTGAAAACGTTGTCGTGCAAACGGCCCCTCAGATATGTTTTATGTGACTTCAAAACAGTGTATTTTGTTTCAGGATTAAGCTTTTTTTTATTTTTTTTTTTATTATTTATTATTACTTTATAAAATGTGATGCAGTGTTTAATTTAAAAATACTACAAGATTACATGCCATTTACAGTTGTTGTTGTTTTGCTGCAGTTTTGAAATTATATAAATTTCACTGGTGTTGGAAACCACCACTGAAATATGTATTTATGCAGTTTTCTGAAATTAAACCTTTAAAAAAACAATTACTATTGGCATTAATAAATTATTATTTGTCACTAATAGTCTTGTAGTCATTAGAATCATGAAGGGGGAAAAAAATCAGTCAACTTGCTAAGTGTTTCTTCTTTTTTCTTTTTTCTCTCTCTTTACTGTCTAGCTGCTGGACCACTGCTTGGCACCAGACACTTCAGGAGATGGTACAGGATGTGACAACATGACCTGTATAATTATCACCTTCTCCCCACACCTTGGGAGCAACATAGAGGAGAGCACCAAGAAGCGAAAGCCAGAGGAGGAAAACGGCAACGACAGCAAAAAATCCAAAACTGAATAGAAGAGCTGTTCCTGAAGGTGCTGATTATTTTCAGGACACTTTCCCCTTTTGAATTCAGACCACTGGGAAAATTTTAAGGATAGCTCCATAAGAAAGAGCGTTTTAGTTTGAAACGATTCAAAGACGCACGCAACTAGAACTGTTAACCCAGACCATTTGTTCTGTTTTTTGTTCTGATTTGTTTAATATTCCCGTCGACGACGTCTGTAATTGATAACTGAATGAACGAAGCGCATATGGTAGCAGAGGTGATGACACGCGAGTCTGTGTCCTCCTGATGTATCCGTCTCGTCCATCGTACCCTCGTTTATGTGCATAGTGTTTTTCCAGTAACCATCAGCTTGATTTGAATGCTGTTTTTCTTTTCTTATTTTCAGTAGTGGATCATTGTGTCAGTATTTGTGACCTTTTTTTTTCTGAACACCAGTATGTAATTGATCAAATATATTTTTTTTTTTTAAATAATGTGATGAAAGATGCTCGTCTATTTTTTTCCTGATGAAGCCATCGCCCACAATAATCCTGTCGAAATGCTCTCGGATGCTGAATTACACTGACATTCCTTTCTCCCTTGTTTCTTGTTAGTGATTCAGAAAAATTTTATCATTGATCCTAATGTCTGTAATAAATCGTCTTCTTTCTTTTTGATCAGAAGGCTGACATTGGGATCAATGCCTTATTTGGTAATAATTCAGTAAACTGCAGTTATAGAGTAGAGAGTCCGCACTGCAAAATAGTTTTCTCATTGTCCTCGGTCTTGAAGCGCCCATCTGATTCATTAAGGTTTATATACGACGTATTTTGGAATATATATTTTGGTACTTTTTCAGAACATCTTGGTGGGTTGTACGGGGAAGTCATTGCTCAGAACGACAACGTTTTCTGTACCAATAAACAAGTGGAGACAAGTACCGCAATGCTGTTTTTCTTGTGGGGAATTGGGTTTGATCAAGCAGCAAGGAAATGTGTCTGTCCTACTGGTGTAGATTTATGAACAGCAAAGATTGATCCAAGTTTTAGCTGTGAGCCGAGGTCTGTTCATAGTGGGAGGTGAAGTTGACATTGTGTAATAGCTCCTTGTATTAAGATACTCTGAATGTTTCTACTTTTAAAACTCTCAAAAATAAACAATGGCCAGTCACAGCACTTGGCACAAAACACGTATGCCTCTTTATATAAATTATATTGATATTTAAAAAATAAATAAGAAGAATGGACATATGATGTTGATGTATTTGTAAACTACAGTACTCAGTTAGTACACATAAAATAATTCAGCAATTACTCCGCACATATTAGGGTTCTTTGGAGATGCAATGTTCCAGCTAGTCTGCTTGATCAATTACCAAAGAAGTTTTTTTTTTTTTTTTTTTTTTTG